AAAAAAGATAGAAAGATATTTATAGATAAATTGAATCGATTAAATTGAATAGTTACTATTACTACTCATGTGTATACGAAGACTAGAGAATAACTAAATATACGAGAATGTCAGCGCATATAATCTCAAGTAAATTAGTAGTGATTGATGATTTCCTTTTTATATTTCTATATTTCTACTGATTTTTTTCGACTATAACGCCATCAAAAATTATCATTCATAGCTCGACAGGGCAAGTAATTCTATCTACTTGAGAGGCAAAAAATATCAATTCAGAACAAAAAACACACACACACACACACACAGAGATAGAAACGGATAAGTTCATCTTTACTAGACTGAATATTATGCTTATGAATCAAGCTCTTATTTATATATATATATATATATGTTCGCAAATGAGAAAGAGAACTATACAGAATGCAAAGCACGTCAATAATAGAATTTCAATATTGTTTGTAATTTCTCTTAGTTTGCTGCATTTTATTTTATATAGGCTGTGATGATAAAGAATCTTTCTTCTTCTTCTTCTTTTTTTTTTGCTTATTGTCTTTCCTTTTTTTTATCATCATCATTCATGCTATGCGACTATCTGTAAGTACAAATTATTCAAAAAAAAAAAAAAAATCATTAACATTATTTTTATTTTATGTCATGTTATATGTATATTAAAGATACATTTATATAGATGTATGCATGAGAATTTGAAGAAGTAATTATTTGGATTTAATAACGGAAATAACGATAAATCATTTGCAACCTTTTCTTAGCATAACATCTCTATAGTTCACATACCAAGTTATCTACGTATGTAATTGTAATGATTTATGCCGCTGGGATGTCTGAGCACCAGATTGTTTTTATTAGAGACTCATGTTTTTGATAGCCAATTCATTGGTACGATTAGAAGGAAAGAAAAATTTCTTTTGATCCCATCCTCAAAGATGATGGAGAGAGAGAGACAATAGTTTAAGGTCAATACAACTGTTATTTTTTTTACAGAAAACTCTCATTGATTGTATGAATAGAGTAGTAGTTCCAACACTCATAATAATACTATTAATACTGCCATCATCATTACAATAGTCGTCATCAGGATCATATAAAACACCAATAATAACAGTAAAAAGAAAGGAAGAAAAAATAAAGCAAGCTTACAGAGAGTAAAATCTCTCCTTTCTCTGTCTTTGCTTCTTATTCTATCGTTTCTGTTCTTCTTTTTTCAGCGATAAAGAAATGATAGAAAAACTCATGGTAGTAATAGTAAAACAGCAATAATAGCAGAGAAAGCCGACGTCCCCTTTCGTAATATACGTGTGTATGTTTCGAAGGAAAAGATCGACAGTAGTTGCAAAGAAAAACGCGATGATGAGAAGAAACGAAGGATAAGAAGAAGAAAGAGGAGAAGAACAAGCAGCACGGTACATTTTTCTCTCTCTCTATCTAGCGAACGTCCAACTGGGCTGTTTTTCTCCAGTGTCGAGCAGCATCCCTCATTATTATTGTGATTATCGTGTTCGAACTATGTTACTACTATACACGCGCACATATCTGCACATTGGCATATATGAGAGAAAAGAAGAAAGAGAGAAAACTGGAGATTGTACACACTTGACAGTATTTCGTATAAAACTGACATTGGCTATAACAATAACAACAACAACAACAACAAAATATTTCAATTTCTGTAAGATCAAAAACGAAAGTTTTATTTTATTTTGTTGTCTTGATGCGTATGTATTTTTTTTGTAAGTATATATTCTCGGCTACTAGTTGCGTCATATGGTTTGATGGATCAATAGAGAAGTATGGAGAAAGAGAAGCAAAGAATAACAGAAGAAGAGTCGAAAACAGGTGCAGACAACAGCATGTTTCCGACTGATGAAGACGAAACACGATGTGTAGAGGTGCGGCCGGAAATTAGAAAAAAATTGTTGTATTACAAATCTTTTAGATTGTTGAAAGCTAATGAATGAATGAACGAATGAATAAATAGTCGGTTTTTTTTTGCGTTTATTTACGGCTATGAATGGAACACTAATAGAACATCGATGTGATAATAATAATATAGTGTAGAGAAAAAAAAATCGGTAGTTATAATAGCAATAACAGTATCGATATAAAAATTAATAAATGTAAATAATATTATAGAACGAAAATGATAAGAATATATTGCAAATCTTTGATCAGTACTAGTGAAAAGTCAACCAATAAACGTAAAAAAACAAAAAGCAATATGAGATGAGGACATAATTTTCAAACTAAATTAATATCCGCCATAATCTTCATTCAAAGATAGCTGTTTTGTAAACATTAATCTTGCCGTTTTTTTTATCTATTTCTATTTTCTAACTCTCCGGGTGTCTTCTAATTAAACTGTTGCCTTTCGAGTAATAAATATCCGATGAGAAATTATATATATGTATATGCAAGTGTGAAGAAGCAAAAAAAAACGCATATAAATATAAACATGTATAGAACAAAGACGGTAAATGAGTTATTGAGATTATAGATAAGAGTACAAAATTTTTCCTCTCTTATCGTGTACGATTCTCATTATTGAGTTTAATATTTGATAATACAGACATTATTCTACCCCCATAATTTTATTTCTATATATACACATACGATATCAACACGTGAGTACTTATTTATATACACGCACATACAATTTATCACTGGTAATCATTAAGCGTACCATTTGGAAGTATTTGTTGCCTGGTTCGCTTGTGTACTGTCAAAAGCTTTAGTAATTCATATTCTTTTCATACTCTTCTCATTCGATTAGAACTACATGCATAAGTTATGATCTTCGTCAAATAGCAGCAGATAGAAAAAATAGCAACAATTTATTGGACGACGCCCAGATAAAGTTTGATGTCATCAAAATGAATAACCTGATAGTTTCCAGATGAGATTGCTGAAAAGATTTACATGAAGGACACAACACAGAACTAACGTTTGCCTTTTTCAAGTAAACTTTGACATTCGAAGGATAAAACAGGCGAATGTCAACGTTACTCCTCCCTGTTAGGATAAACTTCTTTTTTCTGTCTATCTTATTCGAGATTTTCTTTTCCCCTTCATTTTCTTTTGCTTTTATTTCTTTTACTTCTTTTTCCGTCTTGCTTTCTTATTTTTTTTTCTCTCTCTCTCTTCTCTTATCTTTGTGTGCTCTACTGCTCTCGACGAAGAGTCCTGTCGTGTAGTCTCTTATACAGAATCATGTAGAGCATCAAATTAGTAGATGCCGATGCTATATAACACAGTAGCAAAAAAAAATGAGAGAGATAGATAGATAGATATGAGCAGCCCTGGGTATATATTTTGACATATTTAGATAACAACAAAAGACGAATTAAAGAAAAACGTATGTAGTAAGGATAAAAAAATTTCATTTTCTTTTTATAATTTCAGATGAGTTGAAAACTAAAGAAATCTTTTTCTTTTTTTGATTTATCATATTGAGAACATATTTTGGTTTGTTGAACAAAATAAAATGTTGATTTTTCAATAATTGAGTGAAATGATGACACGAATTTGGTCACCAATTATCCATGAATCGATTTGATTGGAATAAACTTTCACCTGACGAATTTGAACGTCTACAAGAATATATTTCATGTAAGTTGTAACAAAAAGAAAAAAGAAATTCGAAATCAGTTAAGATTATTATTGTCAAAAAATGACATTCGTCATCTATTGATATGTTTTCCCATGAGTACAACTGTCTATCTGTCTATTAAGATGCACCCAAGAAAGTCAAAGATGTTGTTGCTATTCTACAACAAGATTCCACTTGGTTAGCTCATCGATATGATGAGGTATTATATTAATTTCATCTTTTTTTTCTCTTCAATTTCAATTATTTATTTTTAAATAGGAACTTGATTATCAAGGTTTCCGACAATTTCTTGAAGTACTTTTTGATAATACTGATATACCTGAAGAATTATGTCGACATCTATTTTTATCATTTATCAAAAAACCACCTGTTATCATACCGATCGATACAACATCGGCAATTGGCGCTCTTCCAACTGCAACTGCAGTTATACCACCACCAACAGCTATAAATCTATCAAATAGTACATTATCATCACCAACAACAATAGTACCATCAACCACAAATCGAACATTTGAAATTACCGATAAATTATCTAATTTATCATTTTTACCCGAAAGATTCTTTCGACCAAAACGAACTTTTGCTAATTTTGCTGACGATAATAATACAAATGGATTTAATGATCCAAGAAATCGAGCTGGTAAAATAAATCAATCTTTTTTTTTTCACATTAAATTTATCATCTAGGTATTTGTCATACGGGAAAAGAAAGTATTATACGTCGAGGTAATTCCCATGATCAACATCATGATTCATCAGGAAATTCTCGGCAATCATCTAGAAAATCGAATCCTTCGATACATTCAATTCATTCATTACATAATAATGGTAAGAAGAAGAAGAGATTAGTTTTCCGGATATATAATTATGAGAATTTTTCTGTTTAGTTATAACTACTGTTACTCCTGATGACCCATGGGTAATTCGTGCATCTCTATCTCAATTGTTAAGTATGATATCTGGTAATGATTCAACACGTGGTGTTCATCATCATCATCATAATCATTATTATCCAAATGCACAATCAAGAATTCAATTAGAACAACAAATCGATATAAATGCAACACGAATTCTATTTAAAGATATTATTTGTTATTTTTCATTACTTGAAGGTGGTACACCAGAACAAAAACTTGAATGTAAATCTATTATTAAAAATTCTTTTAATTCAAAAATGAAAAAATTATCGATTTTTTTTTTATTTTAGTTATGTTTATGTTATATGATGAAGATAGTAATGGAATACTTGATAAAGAGGTTTGTAATAGATCGTCGATAGAAATAAGATGAAATTATTTCCTTTTTTCTCTATTAAGGAAACCGATTCAATTGTTAATCAAATGATGAATGTTGCTGAATATCTTGGTTGGGATGTGTCGGAATTAAGACCAGTAAGATTTAATAAAATTAATCCTTGTTAAATATATACATTTTATGATTTATTTTTTATTAGATTCTCGAAGCAATGATGAAAGAAATCGATTATGACAATGATGGTGCTGTTACATTAGAAGAATGGAAACGAGGAGGATTGACCACTGTACCGCTTCTTGTTTTATTAGGACTTGATTCCGTATGTATCTTCGAACTAAAAAAAGAATTTATTAATTATTTTCTTTTTTAAAGAATGTAAAAGATGATGGAACACATTCATGGAGATTAAAACATTTTAATAAACCTGCTTATTGTAATCTTTGTCTGACAATGTTAGTTGGTTTGGGTAAACAAGGCTTATGCTGTACATGTAAGTTTATTTTTATTTTAATTCTTGAAAAAAAAAAGAAAAATATTCTAGTTTGTCGATATGTTGTACATGAACGATGTGCTAATCGAGCACCAGCAAATTGTATATCAACATATGCTAAAACACGTAAAGTTGATACAACTATGTTACATCATTGGATTGAAGGCAATTGTCCTGGCAGGTAATTATCATGAAGTGATTCGATTATATATTGAATTGTCTTATTTTATTATATATGATTAGATGTGATCGTTGTAAAAAATCGATTAAACTATATAATGGTATAACTGGACTTCATTGTCGTTGGTGTCAAATGACATTACATAATAAATGTGCATCACAATTAAAACCTGAATGTACATTAGGTCCGAATCGAGATCATATTATTCCACCTTCATGTATATGTCCAGCTGTTTTGGTATAGAGAAAAAACTATTCTTTTAAAAAATATGTATTTGAATGATATAGGAACGACCAAAACCACCACGAAATGGAAATGGTCTTAAGCGAGAAGAATCATGTGTTGAAGGATCAATACAATCATTTCAAATAAATCCATTACCAAATACACATCCATTAATCATTTTTATCAATCCAAAATCAGGTGGTAAACAAGGAGAACGGTATATAGAATCTTTCTTGTAAGAAAAAGAAGTTGAATCTATTTTTATTATAGAATAATGCGTAAATTCCAATTTTTATTAAATCCACGTCAAGTATTTAATCTTACAAAAACTGGACCAATGCCAGGGTAATTTTTGTTCAATATTGAATCTTTTTTTATAATTCTTGTTTATTTAGATTACAATTTTTTAAAGATGTGGAAGATTTTCGTGTTCTTTGTTGTGGTGGTGATGGAACAGGTAAAATGAAAAACCATTTTTAATTTTTTTTAAAATATTAAATTTTGTAGTTGGTTGGGTACTTGATGTAATGGATAGAGTACCACTCGTTCGTCGTGCACCAGTAGCTGTCCTACCATTAGGTACAGGAAATGATCTAGCACGATGTTTAGCATGGGGTGGTGGTTATGAAAATGAAAATTTAAATAAAATTCTTAAAAAAGTTTCACAAGCACCGGTGATCATGCTTGATAGATGGCAAATTGAATTCAGTCAACGAACAGATACAGAAGAAAAAGGCGATGATATTCCATATAATATAATTAATAATTATTTTTCTATCGGTGTTGTAAGTAATTTAGAATTGAAAAGAAAGACATAGGATAATAATTTCTAATTATTAAGGATGCTTCGATTGCTCATCGATTTCATTTAATGCGTGAAAAACATCCAGAAAAATTTAGTAGCAGGTTTGATTAATTTTCATTTTCGAAATAAATTATTACACGAAGAAATATTTATTTAGAATGAAAAATAGATTATGGTATTTAGAATTTGGTACATCAGAAGCAATTTTTTCAACATGTAAAAATTTACATGAAAATATTGATATAATGGTAAATATTCAAAAGCGTTGGAATAAATATGTATGTATGTATTTAGTGTGATGGTGTTTCACTTGATTTATCCAATGGACCATCATTGGAAGGCATTGCATTGTTAAATATTCCGAGCATTTATGGTGGAATATCTTTATGGGGTGAAGGTCATCGACATAAAAATCGTAAAAATCCATTAGGTTTGCATCGAAAAGACTCGTATGTTGAATTCAATTTTGAATATATTTATATTGATTATTATCTAATTTTAATAGAGAATATTCAACAAGTTCAACGTCAGATATGACATTTGTTTTACAAGGTAAATTATAATATAGATCAGATGAAATAGTCTTCTTCTTTGCTTTATTATTTAAAAGATGTTGGTGACAAATTAATTGAAGTTGTGGGAGTACAATCAGCTATTCATGCTGGTTCGATTTATGCTGGTGTTCGTTCAAGTGCTAAACGACTTGGTCAATGTTCAACAGTTGTTATCAGGTAAAAATGAAAAACAAATCATTTTTTGTCTATTTATTTATTCTTTTCATTAAAAATAGAACTCGAAAAAGTTTTCCGATGCAAATCGATGGTGAACCGTGGCTTCAACCACCATGTACAATATCAATAACACATAAAAATCAAGTTCCGATGTTAATGGCACCAAGAAAAGAACATAAAAATAGTCTATGGCGTTTTTTTAGAAAATAAAAAAGTCGGAAAATTTGTGATAATCTGATTATGATGAACATATAACATATTATCAAACATCCGTTTCTTCCTTCTTCCTCATTATTATTTTCTTTTTCTTCTTTTCTAAACAGTGATGTTTCTAGTCTGATAGGTATTATTATTCTCAATCACGCAAATATATATGTGTGTGTGAAATTCTATAAATATTTTGTCTATTAAAGTACATAAAAACAAATGTACATATATGTCAAACAAACTTAGCAATTGTTGGTCTTGATGTGAATAGTGCCGTTTCTGGTTTTTTGTTCTTCATCTGTCCTTTCATCATCATTTTATCTAACGTCTTTTTCTCTTCTCTCTCTCTTTTCTAAAATCACGTATATATGTGTATTATTGTATTTTTTCTCTTTTAAAAAACACACGCACACAGACACAAAAAAGGCAATATTATGTATTAAGTCGGACATCCACGAAAAAGTAGAATTGGATCAATAGATGATTTACGTAAATCAACTAATTGATTGGTACTATTTGTTTTTGTTAATGATGCTAAACGAGATTGATGGGCTGAATGAAATAAAAGTAAAGTACTTAATGGCATTAACATAAGATAAATGATAAATAAAATACGATCAATCATCATAGCTATTCGTTTAACTGATCGTTTTGTTTCTGATTTTGGATTAAATATCGGATGTTGATAATCTAATGATGTTGTTGTTATAAGAGAATTACGTCGTATAAATAAATTCATTAATGATTGACGAAAATATCTTATATCATGTAATAATTCTATCGCATCAACATCAGTTTGTTCGGGTAGATTTTCTTCAATATTTTTACGTTTTCTTAAAAATTTCCATCGTTGTTTATTTAATTCAATTAATGATTTATGTACATTAAATACAATACTTTTTTTACGTTTTCGAACTTTTTTTGGTTGACGTGAATAGGGTTCATGATAATAAATAAATATTGTAAATGTATTAAATATACATGACAAGAAAACAATAAAAAATATTCCATTGGAATATAATGTTAATGTACAAACACCACGTTCAGTTTTTGGTACATAACCAGATATTAATTGGATATAAAATACTAATGAAAGTAATACACTAACAGTAAGCGCAATTTTTTCACCACTATCGATTGGTAAACAAAATGAAAAGACAGCAAGTGTTGATATAATAAAAAATGGTACAATTATTTTTAATATATAAAAACGTGAAAATCGTACAAGTTCAATATCAATTTGAAGTGTACTAAAATTACTTCGATGATATGCATTATATAAATCAATTTCTTTTATAGTTGCATGTGAAATTTCCCATTCCGTAGTAATATAATTATATAAACGTAAAACATTATATAAACTACGTATTTTAAATTGACTTGAATCATATATAGTTGATTGAAGTAAGATAGAACAATATTGACGATCAAATGGAAAGTTTCGTACATCGATTTCACAGAATGCGACAAGTTTTTCTTGATATGACCATCGAACATTGCCTGTACAAACAACTGAAATTGGATATTGAAGTTTTAATCCTTTTGATAATTGCCCCGGTCCATTGACTGCAAGTACATCTGGTGTCCAGATTTCATTTGCAGTAAAAAGAATTTCGGAACGATTTCGTTTAACACATGCTTGTTCACTTGTATTCCATTGTAAAAGATCATCACACCATTTTAATTCAAAATTAACATTCAATGTAATAACCTTAATTTAGAAAAAAATATAATTAATTATTTTCTATTGCATATCTTTCATTCATTGATGGGAATAAAGATTAAAATTGTTGGCATTCCTTACTCTATTATTAGATAATAAACATCGTGCAATGTTTCGTAAACATCTTTTGATCTCTTATTTTTACTAATCATCTTCGCTCGTATATATACATTTAGATAATCAACAAAAAATTTTGCCGCTATTTTGTAAGGTTTATGATACTGATAAGTGATTGTTGATATTTTTTCCGGTTTAGTATTAATAAACATTTAGAAGTAGCTGATTTTCTCGTACTATCTTAGTATGATGATCGACAGACTCTCGAAACTCACTACTGAAACACTTTATGCTTTTGTAAGGAAAAAAAATAATATGAATAGTTTTAATACTGAAACTAGGACTATCGTACATGCGTTATTTTAGCTTAGTAGTAAAAATGATCTGATTATAAACAATATTTCAATACAAACCTGCTTTTGTGGATCAAGTCCTGCAACTTCAATAATTCCTAAACCAATAGCAACTGCTGTACGAGTGACATTTTTTACTGATGGTCTTGTTAAAACTCGATCTTGATAAAGTTTTACAATACGATTTCGTGTTGATTCAACCGCATTATACTTTTTTGCGTACGTTGTCATTGATATAGCTATTATTACTGGAAGAATAAATCCATATATTGACTGCATGCTTTGACTGCTTTCCTTTGATAAAATGAGATCGATCGAAGAACTGCAAAAAACTATTCTATCATTTCCATAATCTCATAAAAAACATGACGGCACTCGTTATAACCGAGAAGATAGCTTGGAGCAGAACGCAGATATAGACAAAAGAGATGAACATATTCTATTTCTACACTAACAAACTTAACATCCGTCCTTTAGATTCTTTCTTTCTTTCTTTTTTTTTTTGAAGCGTAAAAAGAAGAACTACAATTGATAATAATAGTATTTTTCAATAGCAACACTTTTTTGTTTTACATCTTATCTGGATTCTGATGATGCTTCCCTTTTCTTTTGTCATTGATATTGATCTAATTATGTTCGAATATAAGATTTGATGGTTAAATCAAATTTGAAACAAACAACAAACTGACATTCGAGATATTTAGCGATTTGTTTATCAGACAAATTCATAAATAATAAAGAAAGAATAGTAGCGGGACATTGTGAGATTAGAAAACTTAAATTAAGATCTACTATGAATATCAAAAAAAGCCGAGAAATCATTTTTTTTCTTAACAAGAACATTGGTATGGAATAGAAACATCACACGTATTTATTCAATTGTTACTAATTTAATAATACTAGCATACGGCAAAGCAATCAAGTGAATTTGTAAATCATTGAATAGTTCACACACGAATAGAATGAAAGAAATAACTCATAGTAACGCAAATCTATCATTCAAAATAATTGTCGATGCAAACAAATCAAAACTTGTATCATAATATATTTCATTAGTATAACAGTACCACTGATAGTCGAATATCGTTAACTGATAATATGAAAGTATCTTGTTTTAATTCCAGCTAAAAATAGGAATATTTCTGATAGTTAGCATTCATTTCAAATCGATTGAATAACATCGGATTAAGTCATTAATTGTTTTCAATAATAAATGTCGCAATATAGAAGTAATTCAGTAAAGATCAAAGATCGGAATTAGAAGAAGTATATCATTTGCAATGGGTCACTTGATTCAGAAAGATATAAGAAAATGAAAAAAATAATCTAAGCATTACCAGGTGCATGTATTTTTGTAAAAGTACGCCCCTAATCATAGAGATTAGATCTGTATATAAATCATCAAAATAGGTAATTTTTTTATCAAATATATCAATCAAAAACAACAGCTATCGAAAATATGACGTTGCTTTCAGCTACAGGTAATGTTCGAAAAATCATTTATATATTCTTAGTATTGAAAACTATTTCTATCAAATATTGAATTAGTCGTAGCAAATGTATTCTTATTGGTATTAATCAATTCTGGTATGATGAATACAATAATTAATAGGCTTACTTCATAGTTTTTCTTTATTAGTATCTACACAACTATATTCAAAAACTCTTAATTGGGATAACTATGGTCATCAACAAACTTATACGGATATAATGGCTAGATCTGACTTTGGAAGTGTTACGGGATGGGTTAGTTCACGTGCAATGACATCAGGTGGAAGATTACGTGTAACGGTCGAGAAAAATGCTTTGTCTGGAGCTGGTGGACTCATATCAAATACTAGAATTCCAGATGGTACTGCTTATGAATTAGGTTTCGATATTCAATTTCACAGTCAATTCGATTGGAGTCGTGGTGGAAAGGTTGGTTTTGGTCTTGGTATTGGAAATGGTAATACAGGATGTAATTTACCTACTGATGGAGCAGGTGGTACTCTTCGTTTGATGTGGTATAATAATCCAAGTACAAATCGAGTCTATTTTCATCCATATATTTATCATCAAGGAATGCCTGGTCCATGTGGAAGCAATTTTGGAAAATCTTATCCAACATCAGGTATAAACTTTCAATACAGGAACCTAATGTGATCAATAAGAAAAGATCTTTGTTATATTTAATTTTAGGTAGTATCGAAAAAGGTAGAACGTACAAAATACATATGTATGTTAAATCTAATACTGGCAATAATGCTAATGGACATGTTCAACTTAAAATTGATGGTCAAGCAGTAATTGATCAAAGTATTCGTTGGACAACAAACGATAGTAGACGATTTATCAATAACTTATCTTTTCATACGTAATTTGAACTAAATTTTTGCTTTTATTTAAAATAATTTGATTTTCTTTTTATCTGTTAGATTTCGTGGTGGAAAAGCAGACGAATGGAAATCTGGTACTGACGGTTATATTTACTATGATAATTTATATGTTCGACAAATTAGTAAATAAACAAAAAGTTTACTAAATTTAAATATAACTTTTAAATAAATATCTGAGAAATATTCAATGTTTTCTTTATATCATTTATTTCTTGTCTGCGTTCATATAAGTAGTTGAAAACCTAAATGGAGAAATATGAAAATATTTATTATACAAGTGTGAAGAAAAGTTCTTGTTAATTTATCTTTTTTATTATAAAATCATTGAAAAAGAATGAAAAAAAGGTCTGATTAATGATGACGAATTATATCGACGGAATCAACTTCTTGCATTGTCTTCGAATCAACAAAACTTAATCGAGCATTCGATGCATCTTTGAGTTCTAAACGTGCAAATCCAAAAGCACTTACAATTTTCGCCGAGGCACTGATCGGTGTTTTAACTGAAGCCTTGCCTTCTGGAGCTCCACCTGCTCCGTTTATAATATGAATTGGACCTGGTTGATTGTCGTAATTATAAGCTATAGGATTTCCATTTGCATCGATCGGGTAAAGACGTTCGTACCAATGAACATGTCCAGAAACATAAAAATCAACGTTATATTGTTGAAGAAGTGGATCAAAAGCGGTACGGCATGAATCACAATTACCTGGAAGAGCAGGAAGTTTAGGTAAACTACCGAAAAATGGACGATGACCAGATACAATTATCCATGGAACTTGAGCACGATTGCCATTGGCAGCTTCTAAATCAGCTTTGAGCCAATCTAATTGTCCTGTGAGTCCTTTAAAGTTTCCACCATTAAGAAGAGTACCTGGACCTGATGGTGCATCAGGAAAATCAGTTTCTGTATTAATAATTACATAATGAACAAGTCCATAGTCGAAGCTATACCATAAATTCTTATAACCACCACTTTCATCACCAGGCATACGAAAACGATGAAGATAAGCAGAGAAATTTTTGTAATTGCTGTTCAGACACAAAAAGTCACCTAAGATAGCACAAGTAACTTCATGATTGCCTGGTCCTGTCATATAAAATTGGTTTGCTGTTACTTCTGTCATATGTTTTTGCCATGAATTCCATGATTGTTCGTAAAATTCGAATGGAACACCAAGACCATAATCATCAGCATAGGATATGTCACCAATATGAACAAAAAAATCTGTTTTATCGGCTACTTGACGTAAACCTTTCATAGTACGTGAAGATCCACCTAAGTTTAATAGATTATCATTTCCCAAATCACCGACAAGTGTAATACTAACTGCACTTGGATTACCGGCAAGTGGTGCAGTAGTAAATGAATGTATACCGGATTCACGTACACATGTAGGTGCTGCTAAAATACGGTAATAATATGTTGTGGAAGGTAACAGATCGAGTAGAGCAACATTATGAAAAAATGAACTCTTGTCGTAGTTATCAGTTGCTCCATTAACAGTAACTTTGTCGGTGAATGTCTTGCTTGTGCTATATTCCACTCGTGGTTCAGGTGTATCATTTTTACCGAAATTGCCACCAGTTCGCCAAGAAATAGTCACAGCATTTGGTCCTCGCATTGCTACACGCATTTGTTCTGGTGAACGTGGAAGAATACAAAATGATCCATGCACTAATGATATACATTGCACCACGATAAACAATGTGAACAGCATCTCGACGAAAATAAACTGTTTCACCAAGTATTTGCATCGTTCCTTTATAGTTATCTGTTATCAGTCACCTACTTTTTCTTTTCTACTCGAATCACATGGGCTTTAGGTCATGTAAAAAGAACAGTACTGTGTGAGTATAGTGCAAAAATAGAGTACGTTATCTTCTCATGTCACATCATAATAATATTTGTCACCATTATCAGTACTTTTGAAAAATCATCATATACATGATGACTCTGGATGTTTCATAAGCAAACGAATAATGCTACAGATCTAGGCATCTGAAGATGCACATTCTTGTGATAGCCATTTATATAAGAAAAAATTAACATATGAATCTATTCAACAGATATCTAGTTCTCTATCTGATGCACTTTTATCAAATACAGAAGATATTGAAACCATGTGATTTTAATAACTTAACGTGCTTATCAAATGAGAGTTATTTTAACTTGATGGACTTTAGAAAAAGTATTTTACTTTTTTTTATAAATAATGAAACTCATAAATTCTTATTTAAAATAATTTGATAATCTTGTATTCGATCAGTTTGAGTTGCACTGATAGTTTTTCTTGTTAAATTTTGATTAAGTATTAGTAATCGTACAATTGCTAGTTTATTTTATTTTAATAGCAAACGAAATATTTTCTTTATAATTCATTCAGCGCATTTGTCAATGCTGAAAGATTTTATTATATATTCATAGCACTACAACATATTTCTGTGATGATTTCTGATATAAGGAGTATTAGTACTGATGAAAATACATTTTATTTTATTTCTGCTTATCTTGAATCGTGTCGTTTTCATACTCGTCCATCAGAGAGAATGAAAGAATGTCAAAAAAAAGACAAAAAGATAAGGTGAGTACATAAAATAAAAAGAAATAATAAGGAGAGGACAAACATCGCTACAATTTATTAAATAAAATTTTTTTATTCAACTTTGAATAACAACATTTTCTTATGTGATTTCATTAAATTTGAGATATTATTTACCTTAATCTCTATCAGATCAATCTGATTATATTTAATCCTATATCGTTCTGATATTTTGAATGATAGATAATATAATAGTAAAGTTTCAACTCGTTTGAATGTAAAAATGTCACAAGAAACCTTTAATTTTCCTTATAATGTATATGAGAAGATGAATTTAAAATTGTTTTTTCTTGTTATTCGTGTATTGGAATAAAATTGTACTTTGCGAACTGATCGTCTCTAGACAAAATCGTTGAAGATCTGGATATTGTCTTTCAGTAACTCCATTGACTAGTAGCTTCACAATTCTTGCAAGATCAATCATCATTTTGACTATACATCGAGGGCATAAAACAGTCGTTATTATGGTCCTCAAGAGAATATAATAAAAATGTGTATAATATGAGTTTCTTTCTATGCCTCTCACGTATCGAACTGATGTCTATATAGTGCTTACATTTTATGAATAAAAATTAATGTGAATGACAAAAATCAGATAAGAATCTGAAAAGTTGAAATTTATTTGCTGATGAGGTAATTATTTTATCATAAAATTCTCCGCACTTACTAATTTTATATTTTTATTTCGTTAATTCTTCAATTTCACATTATTATACTAAAAATTTCAAATTGAAAGTCATGTTATAGCATTAAGAGAATGAGAAAATTCTGATGGTACTCGAATATGAAGTGTATTACGAGTTCGTTGATCCGCTTCAACTGTTACATTTGGATAACGTTCACATACATATGGAATATAATTAAGAAGATTTTCATGTGCATATGTTGTAGTTGACGATGGTTCAACACGAATTGGTGTTGATGAATTTGTATGATGATTTTCTAATGTATCTAAAAGTAAATGACGAATATTCATTGAAACAGGTTGACCAACAAGGACATGTTCATTTGAAATATCAATTAAAAACATATCAATTGGTGCTGATACAGAACGTTTTATTAGACGAGATCCATCATTGATATTTTGCTTAATAGATTGTTCATTGATATCTGTTGTCATTGTTGATTCAACACGTGTAATTGTTCGATTAGGTTCTATATGATCATTATTAACAGCACCAACAACTTGTACAATATCAGATTCTGATGTTCTTTCAAATGAATCAGTCGTATCTGTTGTTTGAGAATGATCTACATAATTATAAGCTTGAGCAATATATGGATTAGAACATTGATAAGAAGCATTGTTTTTGCTATGAAAAGGTAAATAGAATGGTGTTGAAAAAAGAGGTAAATCTGAGAATTCTCGTAATTGTTGTGTCGATGTTGAATATGTCTGCCGTCGATTTGGAAAATAATAATGATGACGAAATAATGAATTATTTGTTGGTTCACGACTTATAGTTGAACATTGAGTTTTATCACTTGATGATATATTCGGTGTTGATATAACAGTTTGAGTATAATTATTATGAACGATAACATCATTATTATTTCGTTTTTTATATTTACACATTGATGATATTATGCCCATATGAATTTAATTATTATTACTATTTCTATAAACGACTTTTTTTTATCAATCTATCATCGACCTTCATATCTTTTCATTTATATTTGCCAACATCTATCTATATATGTGTACAGGAGAGTAGCACAAAAATTGGATACACTATTAGAGAGAAAAGAGACAATTCGAATATTTGACATATCTCCTTCTATATATATTTATAGATCCAATAACAAATATACGTCCGTACAATAATAACACGACATTCAACACCAAATCATCTCAATTTCAATCATATACGTATGTATTGATTAAATTAAAACAAGTCTCTCTCTCTCTCTTTATCATTCAATATGAGACTATTATTGTCAATAATATGACTAAATATCATATAGATTGAATGATTTCAATTGTTATTAAACAAAAAAGAACATTTGTGAACTTCTAACAAAATTTTATTGAATATGCTTTTGTTGATAATCTATCGAATTTAACATGAACGTGACTGTTTACTAATACTTATTAATTCTTTTGTTCTATTAAAATGTTCATCACAATCTTAATCCTTATGTTTTTGATTAAACTCATACTTTTGACTCTAGCGTCCTCTTCAGAAATTTTTTTTATAATATCTTAAATGTTTTTCTTCGTTGGAGGTTAATAGACAATGATTCAAAATGACGAATGAATTTTTATTACTGGCTGACTGACTGATTTGCACTTGTGTATTACTTTCTTTCTTTTCTACTGAATCCAACAGACAGATAGACGAGAATTCTTTATAATTTAAATGGCAGAAGAAGAGTGAGCGTATACGAATTGCTATTTGCTTTTTCTATCTCTCGCTGAGATATCTATTGATTTAATTTAATTATGAATAAAATATTAGATGACCTACAAAAGATACCTGTATTGATCTATTAAAAAAAGTAAACATAATCGATATGGTTTACTTTGCTCTTGTGCTATTGTTTTTTCATTCATATATATTGAATATTTTTTTTTCAGAAGTATGGCTCCACTACATGGTGATAAAAATGATCGTGTTCATATTCGTATTGATGATACAACAGCAAATAATATTCATAAAGCTGCTGTAACACGTGATTACATTAACCAACCACGATTAAGTACGAAAAAATTCAATGCTAATCTTATTTGATTGTTTCTTTTTCTAGCTTATAAAACTGTTGTCGGTGTCAATGGTCCATTAGTTATTTTAGACAATGTAAAATTTCCAAAATTTGCTGAAATTGTTAATTTAACATTACCCGATGGTACAGTACGTAGTGGACAAATTCTTGAAGTATCAGGATCAAAAGCTGTCGTACAAGTTTTTGAAGGAACAGCAGGCATTGATGCAAAATATACAACAGTAGAATTTACTGGTGATATTCTACGTACACCAGTTTCAGAAGATATGCTTGGTCGAATTTTTAATGGTTCAGGTAAACCTATTGATCGTGGTCCATCTGTATTAGCGGAAGATTATTTGGATATCAATGGTATTTATTAAAATTTTGTTATTAGGAAAATAAAAAATATTTCATATTATTATTAGGTGAACCAATTAATCCATTTTCACGTGAATATCCTGAGGAAATGATTCAAACTGGTATATCAGCTATTGATGTTATGAATAGTATTGCTCGTGGCCAAAAAATTCCAATATTTTCTGCTGCCGGTTTACCACATAATGATGTATAAACTTTATTTTTAAAGTATATATTAAAATTAATTATGAAAAATTTAGATTGCTGCACAAATATGTCGTCAAGCTGGTCTTGTTAATCATGGTCATGCAAAAGATACTCATGATAATACTGATAATTTTGCTATTGTATTTGCTGCTATGGGTGTAAGTTATCCTGTTCATGAATAATGTATAAGAGAATAATTTATTTCTTTAATTGAAGGTTAATATGGAAACAGCTCGTTTTTTTAAACAAGATTTCGAAGAAAATGGATCCATGGAGAATGTATGTTTATTTTTGAATTTAGCTAATGATCCAACGTAAGAAGAAATAGATGAATTATTTGTTTTGAAATATTTTTTAAAATGTTCAAAATAGAATTGAACGTATTATAACACCACGTATTGCATTAACAACTGCAGAATATCTTGCCTATCAATGTGATAAACATGTTCTTGTTATTTTAACTGATATGAGTTCATATGCTGAAGCTTTACGAGAAGTTTCCGCTGCTCGAGAAGAAGTACCGGGTCGTCGTGGTTTTCCTGGTTATATGTACACAGATTTAGCAACTATTTATGAACGTGCTGGACGTGTAAGCGGACGACATGGTTCAATTACACAAATTCCTATTCTATCTATGCCTAATGATGGTATTTATATTTATAAAAAAAAACTATATTATGAAATATTCTTTTTTTATAATATAGATATTACACATCCAATTCCAGATTTAACAGGTTATATTACCGAAGGACAAATTTATGTTGATCGTCAATTACATAATCGACAAGTAATTATAACGAAAAGTGCATGAAGAAAAAAACTTTTTTTTATATGAATTGAATAGATTTATCCACCAATCAATGTACTTCCATCATTATCACGTCTGATGAAATCAGCTATTGGTGAAGGTATGACACGTGTAGATCATGCTGATGTTTCAAATCAATTGGTAAAGAATATTATGATTTTTATCAATTCAATAATATATTTTTTTTAATTTAGTATGCTAATTATGCTATTGGAAAAGATATCGCTGCAATGAAAGCTGTTGTTGGTGAAGAAGCTTTATCATCCGAAGATTTACTTTATTTAGAATTTTTAACTAAATTTGAAAAGAATTTTCTCTCTCAAGGTGCTTATGAAAATCGTACAATAGCCGATTCATTAGATGTATGTTGGCAATTACTCCGAACATTTCCACGTGAAATGCTTAAACGTATTCCACATAATATTCTTCAAGAATTTTATCCTCGTGATGGTGGTAGAAATTTACAAAACCAAGCAGGAGGAACAACAACAACAACGACGACGACTGGTTAATGTGTCATCCTTTTAGATTAGTAGGAAAAAAAACAACGAAACTTAAATCTATACTTCTATGTTTAATTGTGCAATATCTTATATGTAAAATACCGGTTCATTTTATTTCATCATCGATACTTCCATGATTAATATTCCGCTTATCAATGTGATTTTATTTTATATAATTTCTTCCCCCTATAATGTTATTACGCAACAAATATATGTATTTTCTTTTTTCATTCTATGTGTAATCATTGACTCATTTCGCAATTCTATTTATTTCATCTGTAATTATGCAAGAATCATAACATTTGAAATTTTTTGTATTTTAGATTCTCGTTAACAAGTTCATATATAATCGAAGTTTTAATTTCATTTAACAGAAAACTTTAAACTTATTTACATTTCTTATCGTATGACAGATCACGATGCAATTGTTTTTCGTTCAGCTGACCCGTTCGCAGATGTAACTGGTCTAAGTACATCGGATACTGGAGCTAGTGCTCAACGTAGCTCCAATATAATTCATATTCGGATTCAGCAACGAAATGGAAAAAAAACTTTAACAACCGTTCAAGTATGTTCTATTAAATATATATATACTTATATAATTATATTAATCTATTATATAGGGAATTGGTGACGAGTTCGATAAAAAACGTCTTTTACGTGAATTTAAAAAGCAATTTGCTTGTAACGGCACTGTCGTTGAACATCAAGAATATGGTGAAGTAATTCAACTTCAAGGTGATCAACGTACGAATGTAAGCCAATTTCTCAAGAAAATTGGCATATGTCAAGATGATCAAGTGAAAGTTCACGGCTTTTGAACATATTATTTTAATTTGTTCATTATCGTCGATATATTGACATTATTTATTCTATCCATGAAAAAAAACTAAATAAACATTCTCTATATCCATGTATTTGTGTGTTCATTTTTGTTTTTTTTTGTCAATTATGATTATCATTCATTTATTTCAAATATACACGCACCAATCCAGCCTATTCTCAATTTTAGAAGTATAAACATATATATATATAAATATTAAGACAGAATAGATGACTTCGAATCAAACATCTATGCTATCTGATGAAGAGGCAATTCTTTATGATCGACAAATTCGTTTATGGGGTGCTGATGCTCAGTTAAAGTAATATTTTATTCAAACAAAAAAATATCCTAATATTTTTTGTCTATAGACTTCGTCAAACACGTCTATTATTAATTAATGTGAATAGTTTATCAATTGAAGTATGTAAAAATTTATGTTTAGCTGGTGTTGCGAGTATAACTGTATTTGATAATACACGTGTGACAACAAATGATGTTGAACAAAATTTAACATTAACAATGTCATCAACAGATATCAATGAATATAAATCCGTTTGTACATGTCGAATTTTACAACAATTAAATCCACGTGTACAATTAACTGCTCAATCAAGTATGACAATTGAACAAATTGATGATAAATATATTGAACAATTTGATTATGTTTGTTTATTTAATTATTATGATTTTTCAACTGTATCACACCTGAATAAACTTTGTCGTGGACAACAACAAATAGATGAAAATGGTAAAAAACAAGTACATTTTTTTTGTGCTGGAACATTTGGTTTATATGGATTTGTATTTAAAGATCTTGGTGATATATATGAATATCTTAGGTATGTATCGAAGAATGTTTTTGCTATGAGAGTTATCTTATCAGAATAGGAAAGACATTAGAGAAATGAAACTGGATCTTTATGTCATTAATGGAGTAATTAAGATATAGATCTGAATGATTGAAAGGGGTAATTTGAGTATGGAAAATGTCGAGAAACAAGAATCCGACTTGTTTTGTTTATAATGAAAGTAAACATTTTATTTGTAGTGAAAATTCAGTTGGAAGTGAATCATTAATTAAAGGTGAAGGTGGAAATGAATCAAAGAAAAGTGAAACAGTTACAACGAAATCAGTAAATATTTTTATTGGAAATAATTTTT